TTCAAGTTTCTTTTAAATGTTTCGTGCAATAAATATTAATATTAAAGATGTATATTATTAAGAGGAAATTCTAATTGTAATCAAAGAACGGTAAAAGTAACACCTAAACAACTGGATCTATTTTTTACTCAGGAAGCTCGATTTAATGATAGTTTAGTGACAAAAATCCATAATAATACATATGAAGTTGCCCTGTAAAGTGCTATATATCTACAATCCCTGAATATCTTGTGAACTAAACTTTTTCTCCAAGATAGAAAGAAATCATAACATACAATTAGAGAGAGATCAGAGAATGATTCATCAATGATATTCAAATGAATTGAGAAAAAGGGTAAGGAAAAAAACAAAGGAAGAATAAAAACTGTCAGCCAGCATTAATTTATTCCAAGTTGAATAATTGAGAGAATGAGAACCCTATTAGGACAGTTGCGTGCACATGTCACCATCACATTTCCTCCAACGTGTGGTGGGGCAAGGATCAGCCTTAAGCTTGCATGCAAAGTATATGATTCGAAGGAAACTGCTGTAGACAACATATCTTGCTTATTTTGACATGGCATTGAAGAACCTTGCATGAAAACAAAAGAATGTGAACAACCTAACTCTCTAAGGTAGTGACTTTACTTTTCTCCACATCCATGATTCTAGAAATCTGTTCGTAAGAACGTGTATTTAGGTATAATTCAACCCTATAAACAAAACTAGTTAAAGTAAACAACCTAATTCTCAAGGTATAGTTAATTTCCTTTTCTCCACACCCGTGATCCGTGTTTCTACCACATTTGTTCTTAATAATGTGTATTTGGACTTAATTCAACTCTAGAAAATCGATTAAGAAGTAAGCAACCTAACTCTATGGCAGAGAACTTCCTTTTCTTCACATTTGTCATTGTATCATCTATTCTTAAAAATATGTATTTAAATTTAATTCAATTTTACAAAATTAAATTATAAGATAAGGATTATTATTTACTTATAATCTGTATATTGATCATATCACTAGTTAGCATGAACTCTTCCAAGTCTGTCAACCTTCATCACTAGCTTGCTCAAGCTTTCACCAAAATTCAATCATGCACAAGGGTTCACACACAAGAACAAAAGAACTCACATATATAAAGCCTGCAGTATATATTATTGTGTTTGTGTAGTGTGTTAAAAGTTCTCTACTTGTCCATTCAAGTCCATAACGTGTGGGTCATGTTTTAGATTTACCTCTATTGGTTGTTTGTCTCCATGGTCAATTCCATGGACCTAATTAAAACTAGACTAGGCTTTGGTTCACTGTCAACCTGACATGAAAATGCTTCATATGAACTTTGTCAGTATCATAGAACTAGCTAGGTTTGATGTATAACCTAAAGCACTTTGATTTACTTTTTACCAATAAGAGAGAAGTGTAAAATAAATTGGGTAGCATTGTGGAGAGAAACGTTATATAAAATAAATAAATAAATAAAAGTGTAGTACAAAAGGTGTGATAAAGTTATATAACTCTTTTATTAATATGTAGTCATTCATACATCAAAGATCAACTAAACATCAACTTCGATATCTTGAGTAAGTTATGATGTACAAATATCGTAAGTACAGTATCTATACGGAGATATGATTAATCTAGAAATAGATAGGATAAGTATAATATTATATATATATATATATATATATATACACACTAATAAAACATAATAAATATATAATTGTATAATTTTTGTAAATTCAATTTAAGAACACGATAATATTGCTAAAAGCAAAATAAAATTTATAAATCATTGTCATCATAAGTCATTTTCTATTTTCTACAATTAGATTAATATTAATAATTTTTTTCTTGAAGTAGTCTATAAAGAAGATATTCCATTTTTTTTATCTAAAAGATGATATTTCTACATTATACATGCTTTTGTGTTTTATATAGTCATATCTAATTAACTATATTATATTTTTATATTTTTTTTTAAAAGGCTTGGATATTTCACTTATGTCTTGGTGAAATATTCAAGAATATTGGTATCAAATGTATATTGGATACTTGCTTAGATATATGTAAAGCAAATAAAAGGGTGGTACTTTGCAGTGATCAAGTTAACTTTTTATACAAACGTTTGTAAATTGTATCTATAAACTTTACAGAAGTCCTTAATGATAAGCTTTGGCTCGACCATAAACATTAGATATATTGCAGCTTTTGCATAACATAATCTTAGTAGAGTTGACTAAGTTGGTACCTCGTGCATGTTATGTTATTTGTTAGCAAAAAGTGAAAAACAGAGGACCCTCATTTTCAAAGAGTGATAGCTTTCAAATTGCTACCAAATGAAATGAAGGGAACACCACATGTGGTCTCTGAAATGCTAGGTAGTAAATGGTGAGGGAAAAGCTAGCTAGGACCAAACAATATGTTTCACATCAGAACAAAGATGTGCACTTGTGAGATTTCATTGGCCTCAATATTCGGGTATGGTCACTGCTAATTTTAAAAGCATATCATCAAGCATCAGCTACATCCTTTGTCCAAATTCTCACATAGTAATTGAAATAAGGATTCACATATGCACATAATACACTTTCTTGTGTCAGATCTTAACAATGAAGTGATATGTTATTGAACTATTATCAAATTATTCATAGATATCTAATTCTGTAAACTTCACACTCAATATATTCCATGTAAAAGAATATGTTAAAAATTTCATATCAACTAGTGATATGGTTTAATTCAGTATCCAGCCTAATTTAGTAATTTCCACTTTAAAAATTGATTTTGTAAGACTAAATTAAATTTATAATTTACTTTCATAATATACTCAACAACTACTTTACCTTTAAAGTAAAAACATGTAACTGTATAAACTAGTTATGTTAAAAATGTTAAATAGGTTCTTCCAAGTTGTACAGTGAGAACAGTAACTAATGTAGATAAGGTGAAAAACAAAGGAAAAGGCAAAGAGTGGGACTAAAGCAGGGAGAACAGAAATCGGCAGAGACAAGGTTGGGGTAGTTCTTACTTTCTGTGGGTTTGGGAGTCCTTGGAAGACAGAAGAAAGCCTGCAAGAGAATCCTGTTGGAAAAATCTCCAAGTGGCCATACATTGATAAATTCATTTTATAACGTTTTCACCAAAAAAAAAAAAAAAAAAAAAAAAATTCATAGATGAGATAATTCATAAATGATTAGACTTCACACAACATCTTATTTTATATTGACTCAATTGCTTAAACATGTTATGGGAAGATCTAGTATCCTATATGAAGGCCCCCTTATCTTATCTAATCCGATCAATAACAACATTTCCAAAAACTATAGTGACACAGCCACTAAGCACGTTCCTTCTGTTTTTCTTATATTTGTCTTATTGAATAACTGCAGTGAGAAATTCGGAACAGGGAAGATGATCTAAAACATGATAAAGCATAACGAGTTATGAATTTAACTCATTTAAACCGAGGAAAATTGTGTAAAAGAAGAAAGGAAAACTGTATACCAGTAATTTTATTTAAAGCATTGTACGAACTTTGAGTAAAATATGTTTCATGACAAATGAAAACATGTCCCATTTTTTTTAATCATGTGATCAATCTAAAGTATCATCAATATTATTCATGATTAATCTCTTTCAAGAAACCTAACTAACTACATTTAGTAACATCTCCCCTTTCAACTATGTTTTTTTTCTATTTATAAGGCTAATTTAATTTGAGATTTTGCTAAATTCAAATCCATTCAGCCAGCAACAACTTGTTGGTGTGTCTGATTGATTATACATTGTGGATTGGTGTTGTGAAATCAAATGGGGAATGAGGTTTATGCAGTGAAAAAATGAAGCAAATCCGTTAACCAAACATGGTATAGAGCCTAGGAAGCTATGATTCGCATAGATTGACATTTGTTTTATTGGTTGCTTTTAATCTGTCGTGTGTAGCGCAAACAGCTCTGTCACAACCCACACACCTCATTAGATAAGCCGTGTCACATTCGATCCACTTTTTCCGTTTTGCACTATTATTATTTCTCCTCTCTCTTTCTCTAATAGCATGTGTCTTTATCACATTCACAATACGCCTCAGAGAAAATTGTGGAGTCAGAGAGAGTGGAAAGTGAAACGTGTGATTTCTGATAACATAACAAAATATGTACACTTCCAGATATGCCACTGCCCAACACTCACGTTCAACATGTATTTTCAATATTATTAGTTCAATGTTGCAAATTTTTTTCTCTGAAATTTTTTAATTTTTTTCTCACTCAACTAACAAAAGAAAATCCTCTCTCTCTTTAAGTAGAGCTTACATACAAGTTTTTTTTCAAAATCAATTAATAGTTAAAGACTAATTTTTTGATGCAGAAACCACTAAAGTAGATGTTATGTCCTTTAACAAAATTTTCTTTATACGCATGCATTAAATAATTTAGTTTTGTACTATTTTTTTTTGTATCTTGTTGGTTATACAAGTTTTGTTATAAAAAAATATAAAAATAAAACATACTGGACTGTCGAGTAGGATTTTTATGTGATGCATCACAATTGTATTTTTATGATTCACATTCGATACTACCAAGTTAAGTAGAAACAATCTTATATAAGTTGAAATACATACTTAATTGTTGGAATACAAACAAGTTCTATATCGATAAAATAAGGGAATAAATAATAACTTATAAAACACACTCATACTTTAATGATTGAGAGACCTTTTAAGTGATAAATTAAAAGTAAAATCATGAAGGTCAGACCCAAAACAAAAAATATCTCATTATTATAGGATTGTGTATAAAATAATCTTATAAAAATAACTTTTATAAAATATCTCGTGAAACAAATTTATACGTCATTAATAATTTAAATTCTATCTTTTGATTCAATAGTTTTTCTTTTACGTTAATGTTTTGTGTTAAATCACATCATGTCATATCCTATAATTTTAAAAATTCATGGAATCTGTGCTTTTTAAGTCCTGGACAAATCAGACAAATGGGCTCAAGTGTTGGGCACTTAGGTGTTTGTTTAGCTTGACATTTGCATGGTACGTACAAGTCCCTGGTGTTGTAAACCCTACTACACTGGCTAGTAGCTTGAGAGTGGAGAGAGACTCTTTAAAGGTCACAGAGAGAGAGAGAGAGAGAGTGTCAGGCTCCGGCATATACCTGCAACCATCACAGTGTTGTTGATCGATCAAGAAGCTTTCTGAAGGGTCTTTCTTCTTGTTCATGGAGGAGAGAAATGCCAACAGGTTCATAAACAAAAGAGTTTCCTTCCTTTTCTTCATGCTATCAATTTGTACAATGATCTTCAGCACCACTGCATGTTTAGGTATGCAACACCACACTCCTTTCTACTTTTCCATCTCTAGTCTCCACTCCTCTTAACTGAGCTTAAAACTATGAAATGAAATGAAACTAATTCAAATCATGAATTCACTACTCCTTTATGGCTTTATCTAACTCACAACAAGCCACACTCACACCCCTTCATCCCTCCTCCAATGCAGATGCAAGCAAGTGTCCCATGTTTGCCAAAGCTGATACAGATCATCAGGTATAATATAAATTATCATATATTTTTTTGTCCTTAGCGTTAACCTATATTTGTTCTTTTACTTTAACCAAAATCATTTCCCATGTTACAATTTTCTAGGACTTTATATCAGTTCTATTTACTTAAGGGTTTAATTGTCATGTATACATGTACTGTCAGTATGGTCAACTAAACAAAAAATCACTATTAATATGTATTTGCATTATTATCGTAAAAGTCATCAAATTTATCATAAATAATGCATTACAATGTAAAACAGTACATGACTTTTTTTCTCTTTATTTAATGTGGCAGCCAACTAGAAATTACCACATCCGAATTTGTTGTAATGGTAATTAAGCTACCTGAGTACAACTCTAATTCTGGAATTGAAGACTTAGTAGCAATTTTTACAGTCTCTGACGGTTCACCCTCACACACATTCTTAGAACATATAATGCGCCAAAATAGGTGCAGTGTGCAGTGTGCTGGGATGGGACCTCTGCAATGTGAGCCGTCTGATACATGGAGTCCATTGTGATTGAGTAACAAAAGGGGTCAGTGGACCATGTGCTTCCTTATTGGTCCGCTCTGATTGACCACTGACTATTCAGTATTCATGCATGCCATTGCTAAGGATCATGCATTTTTAATGGTCCCACTTGCTACATCCACAAGAGATTAGAGAACCATATGTTACACCCAAATTTGTGTTTGTATGGTCAATGGTTTTAGTGTCTTTATTTGATCCTGTTTCAATTTTATTATGAATAAAACTTATATGTTTTATTATAAGTGTCATTAGTAATGTTTTCTTATTAGAATTGAGGTTTTACTTCATTAATCTTTGTAAAACTTTAATTTTGATTGAAAAATAACATTAATAATATATTTGAATATAAGATAAAAAAAATGTTTTTGAAAACCTCTTTACAAGATATTTTTTAATAAAAAAAAAATCTCAAAAACACTTCTAGACTTATATCCAAATAAGTTTTAATAATACTGTAGATATTATATCTAAGTTTTGTCTATATATGAATTGAGCATTAATTATTGAATAATTATGATTTTTGCCAGAAATATGTGGGGACAATTGGACATGGCATGGTGTTTGAAGACAAAACAAGAATTTCCATAGATTGGGCAAGGAAGTTCCTTCGTGGACCCGGGTCATCTCCTCCCCTATGCACCTCCAAGTGTGGCAGTTGTACACCGTGCAGACCGGTTCATGTGACGGTGCCGCCGGGTACTCCGGTGACCGCAGAGTACTACCCGGAAGCATGGAGGTGCAAGTGTGGCAACAAGCTGAGCATGCCTTGAATTCTTCTATAAATTTGGCTCCCAAAGTAGATAAGGGTGAAGTAAATAATTTTGGTTGTTGAGGAGAAGATTAGGTTGATATTTTAACACATTCATTATGTGTTATGCATATATGTAATCAATAATATTGTAATCAACAATTGAGATTATTTACTTTACTTTATAAAGTAGGGGAGAGTGGAATCATTTCTTTACATCATATCATATATGATGAGTATGTAATTTTGTTTAGGCAGTTCTTTCTATGTAGAGACTCCTCTTTAGTTAGTAGTTTTAACTTCAGAGTATGTTGATAATGGATATAAAACAAAAGATTTATATGATTGAATCTAAATTTTCATCTATTTCCTTTATGATTACTGTCGATGCATGACATTATATTTTGATAAAAAATAACAACAAATAATAAATAATGTATTTAAGTTATATAATATTGAAGGGATGTGAAAGTATATACCTGAATATCCTTCCACATGAGGTTCTTATCAACCTCCTGAACGTCATCCCATGATGGAATGATAATAGAAACATGTCGTCGAGCTAGGACTCCCAAATAGCTCTTAAACTTGGCA